CGACAGATCCAGCAATCCAAGGCGGCTCTGACGCTGGACTGGGAAAGATCCCTTGGCCGGATGGACGGGGCCCTGAAACTGATCGCCTTATTCCGTGGCTGTTTGGGTTGTGAGTTGATCCGAACCGCCCATCAAAGAAGCATGAGAGCAAGGTATTCCCTGTCGTGGGTTCGGCTTGTCATGCCAGTAATTGTCGCAAGAGACGCTTCGCTAGGAGATCGCTGGGGCGATTACTGTCGAAGATATGTCGATCTGTGCGGAGGTATTGTGAGTGTGCGCTCGCAGTTGTTATCATGAGGCGTGTTCAGTGGCGAATGTTAGGCCGTACTGAATTATTGGTGAGTGGGTTTTTTCGGTGTAAGTGACGGATAGATCAGTACGACAAGCTTATTGCTCTGTGAAACGAGCATAAGACGTATGACTTGGCGGGGTGCTATGGTCGGTAAGGAGGAAAATATCTAATAATTTCGAAAGGTGAAAACTATCTTTCGGAGAACCAAAGGTCTAGAAGATGCGACGTTTCCGATACTTTCTTGCCAGAAGACAACCTGTTGTCTTGGGTTTAGTGCCCAAGTTGGGCTTTGGGTATCAATACTCCCGTGTCAAAAAAAATTTCTGAATAAGCAAGCAAGACAAAACCTGCAGCTGATACTTCTATAACACCACGAACACAACTCAGACAGAGAAAGCGAGGAAGAAAATTTTCGTTATGGCTTAGGGTTTTCTTTGTGGCTCTACGATTTGAGGTTTGTATGGCTGCATAGGGATTTTCAGAGGAGCAAAGCATAGGTTGCTAGAGGGTGGTGGGATATCCGACAGACAGTCTTGGACAACGCAGCATATAACGCAGCGCCATGTCCGGCTTATGACTCCCTTGGACTCCATTCAGACGGTCTAGTAGCAAGTTACTTGTGCGGGAGATCTAGGCAAGTCCAGGCAAGTCGCAGTCAGCCAGTCGACTGGGCTCCTCCTTGGTTGCAGGCAGAATACGGACGCCAACGCAACCATTCCCATTCGCACGCCGCCTCTACTGCGTGCCTAAGTAGTAATAAGAACGCCTGCATTAGCCAGCAGTCGTCCATACCCTGAATGGCCTCAATGGTGGGGTCCAGACGAGACCAACCTAGAGCAAATACACCACACACGCCATACACACACATGTATGTATGTACTTCTGGTATCCACCTACGGTATAAGGCCTCGACGATGGAGTCGTCAATGCGCTTTCGCGAATGAGGTCACGCGTGGCTCTTCTGCAGGAATGCCCCATCGAGAGCGCTGTAACTCGCTGCTTACCTGCACCTGTACTGTAAGAAGGACGTGGCAGAGCGGTCTGCAGGCCCTTAGCCTTCGGTCGTCGCTGAACATTTTACTTGTTCCAACACAGAGCATCCCAGCCCCCATAGGATGAATAGCGACGGTGTAGGATGCCCTGGACGGACCCCCCTTTCGATGAACGGATAGCAACTTAACACCCCAAATCGTCATGGGCTTCGTTCCGGTGGCATTTCAAGGAGCTCCGTTGGCGTCCGTGTAGCATCGGGAACAAAGTTGGGGGCAATCAATATCTTAGTTCAATGTTGGCACCCCTTGAATCCCGATACCGTATACCCAAAAAGGTGATTCATTACTTGTCCTGTTTCTATCTTGCATCAATTGGATGGTGTAGCCCATTAATCTCAGAATCCTCTAGTTCATGCAAGTGGATTGGCTTACCCAGTCTACTTAGAGAAAGTACGTGTGGCTGCTTCGACCGTGTGCACCGCCCTGCATGCAATCCTACATTCCATGGCTCATGTGTGGGAAAAAAAGGATACCTGTTCTCAATACTGCTTCTTATTTGCCAGTCCATCAGTACAACATAGTATATCGCGTAAGACGCGTTAGTCTCGCGTACACGAAGGCGTACCTGGTCTCACCAGTTACGGTTCCTATGCGAGTTTAAAAATGTTGAGAATAAACAGCGTATATTTTGATACGTTGGATTGTTGGGTAATTATACTTATGTTGTACATGCTGATACGAAGTCGATCATCATTAAATTTACGGTTGTCGCCAAAGACAAGGTACCATACTATCCTCTTCCGAACGGACATTTTGATTATCCAGTGAGTAACTTTAGACAACAAAGCACAGACATAATCAAGAGCTGTTGTGAGATGACGTCTGTTAAGATAACCTAACTACGAGATTGGTAAAGCTTTGTACATATGCTATGCCATACCACTCCGAAAGGCATCGTGAACTACATCATCTTCCCCACCGACGGTGAAGCAAGGGTTGAAGCATGATGGCTGACATAGAACACCCCTGTGCACGTGGAAATAACAAGCTAAGGATTATAAGGCTTTCGAAGATGACGCTAGAAGTATATTCATCTCCATCATGGGGATAGTGAGAATGAATAGTACATCGCGAAGACAGCCATCATCGCTTGTGGAGTCTCTTGGCATTACCGACGATGGGTTGAGAACGATGGTTGGGTTCTTCGAACAATGGCTGGGTTCTTCAGTACCAGTCGTTTCCACGATGAGCCTCACCGCTTTTTCAGGCAAGGAGCAACCTCGCTGCGTCATTGCGTCCCAACCTTGAAGATACCGATACCGACCATGCCACGATCGTATTGTGCTAGGTGCTTTTTGGCAAAGCCCATCGTGGCATGACCGACCACCGTTGAAATTGCGGAGTGACGTGGTTGATGTCTCTTCGCTCGGAAGAATATGGGTCCCTGGCTTCACGGACAGGCTCGCGCCCAGTCGCGGCAAACGGCCGTAGCATTAACAATGCCTCGGGACGGTTTGAGAGGACAGGATGACTGCTGGGTCGCTGCTCTCTCCTGCCTTCATCCTTGGAGTTGACTGCGCTACGGTACCGGGTATGCTCCACGACTAGCCGGCATATGCGGGTTTCCTGCTGTTTTTATTGTCGTTCAAGCAATGAATCGCCAGTCGAAGCACCTCTTGATCAAGCCGGCTGCAGTTTGCTTGCGTGCGTCTTGTCTACCAAATAGAGGGTCTGGATGGTAGGTGCTCCAAACTGTGGTGTTGATGCTCTGGTCTGACACATGTATGGGGCTCCGATTGGACGGAGAGTTCCGTGAGCAAGAAGACGTTGAACCATCAGATAGCTTCCTGCAAATAGTGAGTCCACTTGCAAGCATGGTTGGGGAACTTGCATAATGGATAGTAAATTAGCCATAGGCTTATGTACGTAGTCAAGCTCAGCTTAGAAGATGGGCATTAACAAGATCCTACTCCAATTTCTCTTCAACCACCATAGTATATTAAAACAACATACCGATCGAACATAGTTGTGACAGGCCCAAGATACCAACTAAGGAATTCGACGAAGGCAGGCCATCTTCAATATCGCGCTTTATTCCGGGAACATAGGCCAGTGGATCGTGATATCCAGAATCCGCCTTCTGTATGAATAGTTCGAAGACGTGGTCGAACATGTTATTTCGGCTTGCTCCCACTTCGTCTCATTCAAAGGCAAAAAAGCCAAGACGGAGCTTATTCCGTGACTGCAACGTCATAGTCATAAGACAAAAGAAGCCAACCAAATAAATCAAGCCACCGGAAGGCTGATGATGAGGACACTCAGTATCATTGTGAGTTCAAGGAGATCCGTCGGGTATTCCAACTACATGAAATTCGAGAACACTGAGACAAGGTTAGCCGCAAGGTAAGGTCCAGTTGCGGTCTGAAACTGGGTCTCAGCCTATCAGAGCGGTATGATGAATCATCTTCCAAGGAACACTCGATAGGTAATTGACTGAGTTGCCATTAATGATGGTCATTTGGTCAAGACCGTAGCTGTATCTCCGTGTGCATCTCAGTATAGCTCAATACTGTTCTCTGAGCCATGGATCAAGTGATTGCATCTTTTGACAATTTGTCCATTGCAAGCTTGAGGTACGGCTGACGAGAATTCGTATTGGGTATTTATTGATGGCTCGGATGCCCAGGTCAGAACCCAGGTCCCGGCTGAGTGGATCTTCACACCCAAGATCCGGCCATGTGCAGAACATACCGTTGCAGGTCCCAAACACTTTTTAGATCTGGCTTGTCGACGTCATAGAAAATTTAAACGTGCATAGGAATCTGGATCTAAGCAAACCCACTCCTATAATAAGAAGATTCGGGGTTAGTCAGGCGTTTCACCGGGAGGAGATATTGCTCCAGAAGATCGTGGTAGTATGACCGCGCCGGGAGCACTTGATTAGAATGAGATCGACGATCCCGACAACGGCGACCGTTCTTTGTCGAGCAGTTGGAGTGGGAGGGTTGATGAGGGACCCTACCAACCTAATCAGTCACCAAGCTGTCTAACTCTTAACTCTCCTCTTGTCTCAGGGACATATGTGCTGATTGGACATAGGAAACCTACTACTGCCTCACGTGGTTGCGCCCTTCACGTGATACTTCTTATTTATTGGGCTTGTTTCGCTTGGTGAGCTCCGCGCTAACCGCGAATCTCCAAGTTCTCGGATTGGTAGCCCTATGCTGCGTGAGCGAGCATGCAGCCATTGCTTTCAGCAAACCAAGAATCCGAACCGACGCGGGTTGAGCCGAATTAGTGATCTACAGAAGGGTGATCCGCGATTAGGTCCCCTTAACCTTGAAACACGCGAGACTGATTAGTCGCGCATTTGAGACTATGCGACCAAGTGGTCAGTCGACATGACACTGGTGCCCGGTATGCACAGTCCCTTCGGCATCCCAACGGCTAGCCATGCGTCCCAGAGATCGACATAATAATTTCCTATCGGGAATCTGTTTAGACGAGACAATGTGCAAGGAAAGTATGCATCTTCAAGCTGGGTACTGGGAGCCAAGGGAACGGGCCGATGCATTCATTCGTTCTGTAACATACCAACGCAGGTGGATAAGGTAAGCTTGTCATCCTGTCTTCACCACCTGCACATTTACTCCAGGCATTGGAAGAAACAATCTTGCATATTCCAAGACCTGGCACGCCAAAAAGATAGAGGGCGACTCCGAATCGGGGAATCGAACCCCGGGCTTGACGGCACCCGTGTGTTATGAGAGCGTCAAATGTTGGCCACTACACCAATTCGGAGAAAATCAAGGGTATAGGCGGGATTGAACCACCGACATTGGACTCGCGGGGAATCGAACCCCGGACCACTCCCAATTCCTGGTGGGCTTCTTGGAAGAAAGCCATTCAGATGCTAAGGGAGTATTATACCACTAAACCACAAGCCCCAAGAGGAGGAAGCGATGAGCTTCCTGTGTGGAGTCTTGGCTCGCTAAAACAAAATATGCTGTTTGTCTGGATTGGACTGGACCTTTGGTGGTGGTGCCGCTAATCAGCCAGGCCCCAAATTGAACGAGTCAACTTGTCATCCATCTTGAAGGTGTGTGCAAAAGAGGGTCGAACTATTGTGCCAAGTAAGTATTTGTGAGTTATCAACAACCATCAACCCTCTGGAAAGCTGGCTGTCTGCAAGGAAAGCAAGTAAATTGCCACATATGTCGGATCCCTCAAGTCGGTACGAAGGCATGCAGTCAACCATTTCAATTTAACTTCCGGATCTTGCCGGTGAGGGGCATTAGTCGCAAGCCTTGGCCATTCACCGTTCACCGTCGAACCTCTATTGAACTTTGGTAGGGTTGCAACCGGGCAATGGGTCTTGATAAGCTCTGTCACCTGAGGCCTGCCGAAACACTCAAATCAAGTGCCTCGAGTGCCCCTCCCAGGCAAACAAGATCTCCCACGGCTGCTTTCGTTAGTGCCTTGAAGGCTCCAGTCACACCGAAGGTGGTGAAAGGGTGGTGGCAGACTTGCTGCACGATTGATAACGGGAGTTGGAACGGGGCGAATGAAAGGACGCGGGGCACCGTCCGCGCAACCACTTTCTCGGTCTGTGGTATGCCATTCTTGATAGCAACTGGAAACATGCGCATTTGACTCACAAAAAGTCGATTGTACTAGCGTCGTAATCTAGGCCATTTCTTGTTTATATATCAGACTAAAAGGGTCATTCTGCTTCCTTAGCTTCGAGTAGGCGTATATATGTTGGGTTAGTATAGTTCGTCAGCTACCCTATCTTACTAATATCTTGCTTGGGACATTCATTCACTTACATTGAACCTGCCCAGTCTGACATAAGTACTTACCTTGGCACAAATACTGTAGGTAGTATGTATGGTACAGCATATGTACGTAGAGTTACAACCAACGGTAGCTGCAGTACCACACAACCACCTACCTACCAAGTATGTCTGTCCAGTTGAGATGCACTTTTTCGTCATAACTTCGTAGCCGCAGCAGCCGGGCAGGTTGGAAATCCCCTCCAGTTGCGTGCGCATCACATCACGCCACCGCAGTTTGTGTGTAAAAGAGCTCGGCGCACTCGAGCACACAACCAACTCATGCAAGGTACAGCGGGGGACGGGGACGCGCTGCAGCGATGCGCAATCCCGATCCCTGACTATGCATGTCGATCGACTCACTAAGACAGCAGCGAATGATACCGTACAGAAGCTCACGAGCCTCAACAGCGTCGCATACAGTCGTGCATCACGTCGGGTCTACGGGATATGGTAGTGGGAAGAGGGTGTGCAACCATGTCAGATGCCTGGTTCGACGACACTGAGAAGTGACAAGAGCATACCAGTGTGGGGGGACAAGTTGTTTTTTTCCCTTGGTATTCTACTACTACTTGGTATTCGTAAGTACTGAGTGTGTAAGTGAGTGAGTGAGTACGTGAGTGTGCTCGGTGCGAGCTCGTATCCTTGATCCTCGCCCGGTTTTCCCTTCTGGGTCGCACACCATCTTCGTCATGCACGGCTCCGTTTTGGGAACATGTCTTCGTCCTCAGCTTCTTTCTTAGTCCAAGATATGAGTCTATGAGTCTTTCATTCCCTGCGCCCTGTGATTGATTCACGGCAATAAGCAATAGAGGGTTCGCCCCTCCCCAGCGCGCCCGTCGCGTCTGTGGGGTTTTCGGTTTTCCAAGATACCAAAGATACCGTACCCTTTTTGACAGCTGAGTGACCAGGATGACCACCACCACCACCTTGACCATCTTTGCCTACAAACCCACAAGGCAGCTTCTTGGATCGACAGGTGACTAACCCGGAGCACCAGCCACTTTCCTGACATATTCCCTTCTGCCTATGTGCCCATGGAGGGGAATTTTATATATAACCCGCTTCGCCGCCGAATTTTCTCTTGATGTGCTATTCTAAATGATCACTTTTGGCTCGAGGCTTCGACTTCTTTCCTTCAGTCACATTCACTTCACCACCCCTGTTCCTTTTGAGCCGGCTTGGGCCCGGCACCTTTGAAAAGGTCCAAATTCGACGGAACAGTGGCCTTTCCTCTAATCAGTGAACAATAAAATAAATCACCCTTAGCATGAGATGAGTATTCGGGAGCCTGCCTTTCGCTATCAAGGACCCTTACTATATCAAACTCTCCTATAATCAAATCAACATGCCTCTCTCACCATCGAACGCACTGAATGCAGTGCCCCAACAATCATGGCCACCTAGCGGTCTATGGCCTTCAAGTCCCAGCCGATTTCCACCGGCGCTCGACGATGACAAGGACGGTCTTTCTACTGATGATGAGGACATCGACACTACTTCAAGGCCCGAGAATCCTCTCAAATATTTCTTAACACCCGCGACCCCAGGAGATGATGAGTTGGAATTTGAGTTCGACTTTGATGCTGGCATCGAGGACTCAAACAGTCCCCGCCAAATTGTTCGAAGCGTGAGTCCTTCCACGCTCGACGGCCTCAGGCGGTACAAGGCCAAGAAGGAGGCAGATTGTGCCATCCTAGACGATGAGAGTGACGACGACGACGAAGACTACATACGGTTTAATTCCCACAAGTCACAGCCCTTCGGCCTCGACGACTACTTCGACCACCCTCGACACAGTTCTCCCAACCACGGACTGTCTCAAAGCGCTGAATCTCTACTATCACCATCCTCATTCCATGTTGGATCGCCCAGGAGCCGCCTAGCCAAGCGCTTCGGCCCTCCCACCCCGCCGCCTCGACGAGCTAGTCTTCGAGGTCGGCCCACTATCCGTCCGCTACAGCGGCGACACTCCTGGCGCGAACCTAGTCCTGACGTCTGGTCTATCGACGAAGAACCCGAGAAGGAGACCATGAGCGAGATGGGGCTGAGCACCGAGAATCTCGATGACGGCTCAGAGAAGAAGACTCAACCTATAGACATACCGGCTGCAAAGCCTAGGAAGAAGGTCCGGTTTGTGTTGCCGGCTAAGGAGTTGTGATTTATTGGCATATTATCTATTTGCATCTTTCCTGGGTTTTATCGGTTGCATGGTTATGGAGTTGCGGATTTCTTAGACTTCACAGATACCTACCTCTCTTTTCGGCGTCACGGTCACTACATTGTCATCATCATCATTACCATTCATCGGCTACCCACATCATCATCATCATCACTTTTTCATACAGCATACGGCCCTTAGCATATTTGGCGTTTGGACAGGTTGGTTTTTGGTTATCAGGTGGCTCGGGCATCGGTGGTAATACCTAGGTAGTCTCATATTCATGGCTTTGGTCAAAAGATACATGAACCCCTCTAAATTGAACATTAATACCCCATAACTCGTTGCCCATCAGTGACTGTAACTTCCCATCACATCGCATCCACTCCTTCATCGTAATACTCGTCCATAGTAGCGCCCTATACTCATCTTAGACTCCCAAACAACACGTTGTCCACATCGGCCATATCCGAAGACTTGCCATACAATTTTCGTGTTTTCTCTCTAGTCCGTCAGCACCAAAACTTCGCCTATTAACCGACTAACACCAACTGTAAGCGATAAGTTAGTTAGGGCTGCGTAAGCCACAAGCACAACAGCATCCGATCGGCTCCGAGGCTCCGTGCCGGCCGGACCGTGGCAAGAGTTCTGTCTGTCTGTCTAACGATCTGCATTTGCGTATGTATGTATGCTGACTGCCCAACGGGCGCGCGTATTACGCAAGCCCACACCACCCCCCGACCCATTCTCTTCACCGCGCCAGCCATGGCGCACATGCCCAGATTGCCGGAACGGAATACTGTAACTCGTGCACAGGATTTCTGTTTCGGTTTCCGAATTCGTGTATGTGGTTTTTGGTTAAGTGGAATTAATTGACGTAGAACGTGTGGCTGAGCCGTCGCATGTAATCCTGCCGAACGAACCGTTTGCTTCTGCCTACCTATGTGAATACATGCATACTACCTATGATACTTCATGTGTCTCTTATTCGCCAGCCCTATGCCTTACATCATACATGCCTAACTCTCGCATATGCGGTGCAGGGTATGTAGGTTAAACGGCGCCGGGATTACATGCGTCCCATTTTACCTACCTTAGGTAATCGTACAACCTTGCTAACAAGACAGGATACGCAGTATCAACTTTTTTTCTTGTGAGAAAATTCTGCTCGTCAGACAAATAGGCGCGATTTCTGCGCTGATGCTAGGAAGATACGATAGTGATCTCACACGGAATTAGCCGGACCCGATTTCTTCTTACCTTTCTATTATCTATCGTTCTTCTTCTCAGCGGTGAGGCTTATATCCATCTAGACGATTCCACTACTATGACATATTATCGGAAGAGTAAGACTATTAGCAAGTAAGCCTAGCTTGGGCAGCTACATTTTTCCCAAACTTCATCTACTTACTAACCGCATGTCTGTACTTTAACTCGCGATAACAAGAAAAAGGCCAAGGCTAGTCTGGTTAGTTTGTACCAAGGTCATGGGTTTAGAGCAATGCCGATCCGTAGTTATCGGGACGGCCGGATGTTTTTCGCAACGCCGAAGGCAATGGAAAGTCGAATACCGAGACCGATAGACATATGACCGATGGTGGGTTAAGCCCTAACTACTTAGTAACTAATGACGTGAGAAATCGAAGCGAACTTTCCCACTTCCGTACATGTGACTTCCACAATTTCAAGTTAGCTATGGAAAAAAGGAAGATGGAAAGATTGGTTATCATAACTGCTATTTCCGCTCTTGCCACAAATGGTGACTAATGATACCTTAGACACCTGATACTGGAAACATAAGTAGC